CGTCCCGTACGCCAACTGACGGAGCGCGGCAGTGCACTTTTGGACGCTACTAAACCCGTGTCGGCCTCTCGCATCAAACCGTTGGTTGAACCAAGGAACCTCGCGTTCAACATCGGCGAGTATGCGTAAGAACAGAGGACGACTCATCCGAAAACGATTACTAAAATCCTCCGGTGTATAAACACACGGATTATTAAAGTAGTCGTTTAGAAGTGAATCGTGGGCGGCCGCTCGATCCCGGTTTAGACGTTGGCGTCGGGTCCATCGTCGGGAGGATTCGGCTTCTTCTTGGCCATCTTCCCACCATTGAATACAATTCGTCGCGAAACAACGAAAAAATAAAGCTCTTCTTTCATCGTCGGAAGATGAACCCATTTTTAAATTATATTTTATAAATATTTATAATAAATAATAAATATTTTTGAGAGAATATATAGTAATAAAGAGAGATTTGTGTGAGAGAGGTGTGAATTTATAAGAAAAAAATTTGAAGATGGAGAAGATGTGAGAGATTGGGAGGGGGGGTTGAATTTATAAGAATTTTTTTTTTGAAAAGGGGTGCAACGACTATAAAGCCGTTGGGAGGGGGAGGGGAGTGGAATGACGCCGCGTCATTCCTTTGACGCATGGGCGATCACGCACGATCACGCCGTGGGGCGTTGCTGGTATTACCAGTGCTCTTAGATCAAGAATCCTATACTATAGTTACACAAAGAAAAATGGTAGAGGTAAACCAATTGTGTACCCCATTTGTCCCTCACCCCCTCCTTGTCCATAAAAAAAAGGTAAGAAATTCAAAAAAAGTAAATAAATAAAAATAAAATAAAAATGGGTGGTAGAGAAGGAGGTGTTGTACATTTGGGGTACACCTTTGGTGTACCTCTGGCATTGCTCTTACACAAAAGATATATATTAACATTTTGATAATGTACTCCCTCCATTCCATATTAATTTTCTATTATAACATTTTTGGTACATTAAAAAATGAATAAATACAGAATTAAATTAAAGTACATCTTTATTTATTCATTTTTAAATATATCAAGTCATAATAAATAGTTATATGGAATAAAGTGGCATATGTTCATTCCCAATTATTTTATTTAAAAAAATCTTCCTAAATAGGAGTAAAACATATGAAAATACTAAAATATTAGTCCTAATTCTTTTAAAACCAAACGAGGAATATGATGACAGTGTGTTGTAAGTGTACGCATTGCTGTGTGTTAGAAAAAGTGACGACAATGTAATACGGAGTA